TAGTTAAATAAGGTTTAAGCTATACTAGTATTATCTACATTATGTAATTATGATCTTGAGATTCATTATATTGTTGCAAACTTAAAAAACATGTACGAAGTTCCTATAAATCTATTAAATAGGATTTGTTTAGTTGAAACTTGAAATTATGAAAAATATTTTAAAAATAAGAAAACACACACACACACACACATTGAAAATAAGACATATTGAAACATCTAGAATAATAAAATACTAAATTTTCTTAATAATTCCTATCATTAGTCAATTATACAAATATATATATATATATATATATGTCTAAACCTCGCCTAGGCTTGTTTAAACTCGTACAGTTTGAGTTTCACCCCACGCCTGACCCCGCTTTATGGTTTTCAAAACTTATTTTATATGATTCCAACGAAGAATTTGTACCACTAGTGTGCCAAAAATAAATGATTGATAATATTGGTTATTCAACTCTCCCCTCGATAAAAGTTATGACTCACTTACTGGGCATTCAAATCTTAACTAAAGAGTATTCCATGACTTTACTACTTGACAAGGTAATAAATTTAAATTGATTCATAATGTAAATTATTTTAAGTGATTTGATATACGAATAGGTACTGATAAATTGGTAGCTTTTATTACAGTGATGTTAATATCAGTGTTCTAAAAAGCTCATCTTGATGGCAGCTAGGCATCGCCTAGGCCTGAAGCTCTACCAAAACTCTTCACACTCAGACGCTTCCTTTTTTTCCCCCTAATTCTTAAATGATTGAATTTTTTTCTTCGTCTCTTTCGTCTTTCCTATGCACACTTTATTAGTTTTTTTTTTCCTTTTTAAAAAAAATCTTTTATTTGATTTTAGCTTATTAAATATTATTATTATTATTTAAAAAGTTGTCATTTGACTTTGATTTCAAGATTTTCAAAGATTTTATTTGGTCAAAAGTTAAGACGACTTGATCTAAATATTTAAATAAGGTTTAAACTATATTAGTATTATTTACATTATGTAATTATGATCTTAAGACTCATTATATTGTTGCAAACTTAAAAAGCATGTATGAAGTTCCTATAAATCTATTATGTAGGATTTATCTAGTTGAAACTTGAAATTATGAAAAATATTTTAATTTTTGCATTTTGAAAACATTAAATTTGTATAATTGACTAATGATAGGAATTATTAAGTAAATTTAGTATTTTATTATTCTAGATGTTCAATATGTATTATTTTAATTATAGATAATTTTTAAAATGTTTAAAAATTTGAAATAATATTAAAAATAAGAAAACGTTTTTTTTTAAATTATTTTTTTTAACGCCTAGACTCGTTTAAACTCATACAGCTTGAATTTCAACACACGCCTGACCACGCTTTATGGTTTTTAAAACATTTGTTAATAAACAATTATTATAATTATTGTCTTTGTTACACCTGAAATCTGCGAATATTTCATGTAAGCATCATTAGGCCACGTATGCCTCCAACGTAATAGCATGTGGTACTCACGTGTTATCCTCATTCCTTATTGTGGAATTGAGCCATCCTTTATGAGCTTCGCGTAGCACTGGCACCTCATTCTTGAATGCTCTAAGCAACATTTATGCTCATTTGACAGAAAAGGCCATCAAATCTGTTATTCTTAGAACAAATATATCAAAGGGAATTTACAATGGAACAACCAATACTCTGCAAACTTTGCAATTCTTTTCTTGATTTTAGCAGAATCGACCCTTTTTTTAGGAATTTTTGGAGAGAAAAAAAATTGCTCCAATGCTTCTTTCAGCCATGGATTATTTTTGCCAAGAGATATATGTCAATCTCAAACATGCTTTCTATCTGAGATTTTTTTTTTTTTAAATTCGAATTTCCTTTTTGATTTCAAAATTCGATTTTATGACGACATCTTAGTTAGGGCTAAACAAAGAAATTGTAAAATCGTAAAATTGACAGTTAATTAATAAATATCCATCAATTAATTAATTAAATCATACTCAAATATCCATCAGTAATCATAATTTTGAATGCAAAACCCTTAAATTGGATGAAATGTTAACAACTGTCGTTTAGCCATTATCAATCGTCCATTACAATTGAGTAAATAATTAAATCTAGATTTTAGTTCAAACTCACACATTTCTTTCTCTTCTACTAATAATTTTCTTATATTTTGACTAAATTTTCAGGTCAGCTTATTCAAATTTTCTTATTTTTTTAGTAATTATTTGCTATACTTTGTTAGTAGTTATGTCGCTTGTCAAATTTGTAAAAGGCTCCCTTAAAGTTTTAGTGGATAGTATTTTGTTTATTTGCTTAATTTCTTGGTGAGGTCACACAATTAATTATTTACATTTTAACTGACTTTCTAGATTTTATCGTTAATTGTTAGAATCATTTGATGGATTACTTAAATTGTTGTTTTGAAGTTTAGGTCAATGGGCCTTTTGACATATTATTTTGGTGAAAATTGAATGCAAGTAAATACAAGATTATCCCCAAAATTGTTAAAGATGTGTTAACTATTAAATATTCACAATTATATATGAGTCGCATTCCTTACTAGTGGTCAAATTCTTAATTCCTTTAAGAGGCCACTGAGTGTAAATATGGTTGATGCTATGATTTGTCATAAAAATTGCATAGTAACAAAGAACATATAATGATTCATCATATTTAGATAAAGTAGAAGCATTGGATGATTCATAAAAAGTTATTCGATGTATTATTGTATTTGATATTTATATTCATTTTTATTTATTAGTTATTTTATATCATTAACTATAATTAATGAATGCATGGTTAAAATGTTTCTATTATAGAACTTTGGTTTGTAATATTTTTAATGATAATATTTATGTTATAATATAAAAAAATTTAGACTAAAATTTATGATTTAAGTTATTCGATATATGTTACTAAAGCCATCAATGGATTGAATTTTAATCAAAATCCAATGAAATTAATGAGAGATGAATTTAGGGTTTCAGTACGATAATCCGATTAAGATTCGAATCCGATAATCTGTTAACTAAATGGAGCAAATATGGATATAGGTCGATCCGATCCGATTTATTATAATAATATAATATATTTTACATATTATATCATAATCTAGTAAACATAATTTTTTTCATTTTGAAAATTATATTATGCTTTACATATAATTTTCAAATAATAAATAATATTAGATAATAGTATAATATTGTTAATTGAAATATTTGAAGAGATTTAAATTTTTTATTAATTAAAATAAAATAAAAATAACTGTAATAATTTGTTTTATAACATCAAAAACTAATAATTAATATGTCCAAAAATAATTTACATTGTTTAAATTGATATTATTTGTGATTATAATCTTGTTGAGGCTATGATTTTTAATGAAAATAACAAAGTAAACTAGTAACACTTAGAATTGACAATTTGCTAGTATCCCACATTGAAATATTACTAAAATGTTGAAAATTGAGTATCCTTTAAAAAGTTAGTATCCCACATTGGAAGATTACTAAAACATTCCAAGAAAAGTCTCATTTAAAAAATGAGCTAAATGAGCAACACTTGGATAAAAAATTGATTTGGGCCTTTTAGTATAAAATAGGTGAGCCCATCAAGATAGTTAAAATATTTTTTGGAAAAAAATCATATTACCCGAAAAAATAGTGGATTTTTTTTTTCAAATTCGGATCGGATATCCGATAACATAGCAAATTGAATATGAATTTAACAATCAAATATCCATTGGATTATCGGATCAGAATGGATAGGATAATATTTATTAACGGATCGGATCGGATTGGATCTGGGCAAATCCGCTCCATATCCGATCTATTTACAGCCCTATATGTTACTTTATCTCATTAAACCGTGGTTTTAAACCGAACAAAATCGAAAAAAGTGAATTGGATTGGATTGATTTGGTTTAAAAAAAATTCAAAATAATTTAAGAGGTTTGATTTGAAAATATCTCATAAACCGTCCAAATCGAATCGTGTTCATCCCTAATTTTAGTTATTTATTTAAGTCGATATATTCTACATCATTTTATGTTAGAAGTTACGATTAAATCCCATTTTCAAAGCTTATGAATGTGTTGTGTTGTCATCGTCATACTTGCCATGAAATAATCATCATTTGTATGCAAGGACTGAGTATACTAGCATTGAGATTGATTTACTGACATGTGAGGATATATTTCATATTACTCAAGAGAGATTGCTAAATGAAATATATACGTTGATCATCAAGTTCAAATGTGATTTTTTATTTTTAAAAAAATGAAAATTAATCAGACGTTTACACAAAATAACATACGAAATCCTATAAATCTTATCACCAATTAGAATACTAAATTCAGCATAAAAAATCAGATACTTAAATTAAAAAATTTCAAAACAAAAATGGGAAGAAGTGAAAGATGACTTGGTCTTGTCCTTTTCTTTTTTTAAAAAAAAAAAACAAATTATTTTCTAAAACGAGAAAGAAAATAAATATGAAAATAGTTATTTGTTTTGGGTTTAAAATTGAACCTACAAATCATTCAAACTCTAATTTTAGTTTCTTTTACCCAAAATTCAGACCTTACAACATTAATAATAAAATAAAATATTTTAAACAAGAAAAATTATAAATTTGATTTCATTGCCAGCAATCCGATTCTTAAAAATGACAAAAGCACTCGCAATAAACCTTAAAGTTCAGGGAAACATGAAACAAATGCTATGAAGTTGGATGGTTAATTTAGAAAAAATTAAGGTTGATTGGCTAAATTGATGCCCCAACCGATGGGAAATTTTACACCAATCCCTTTCACTCAAACAAGAAATTTAACCAAGCTCCACTTTAGGAATTACCTAAGCAAAAAGTTGCAAATCTGTGCCTAGCAAAATTCAAATAAACGTACTAATTTGAGAACTGCTTAAATCAAATCAGCTGAAGTCAGTTCGGGACTCTGCTCGTATTGCAAAATGTGGAAACCTTAATCGCAGGTTTATCGACGTCGATGAGCTCAAAGACACAAGTATCTCCAGCCTTGAGGTTTTTTTTCCTTAATAAATGTCACCAATCCTTGGTTCAAAACCAAAACCTTACCTTCTCTTAGATGGACGACGCTAAGCAGCCACTTCTTACCATCACAATCATGAAGTTCAAGGCTCTTTAGAGAACTTGAAAGATGCGCAAGAAATGCGGGTGGCATGCACTTCAGAAACCGGAAAAATTGCAGTAAACTCAAATTTGGAGAAAGACGAGAAAGAAACATAACTCGGTAACATAAAACTCTATCTTACCAATATCTTTCCTGACAGATTGTATGGTTTCAACACGACAGTAAACGTAGGATTCTTGGGCAAAAATTTTCCTGCTGCATGTAACACAACTTTTAAATTCCAAATGATTATTTCTTTTCATTTTCATACTTCAACAATTTGCATAAGAGGAAATCATTTCTAGAAACAATCTTACCGATCAAAATAGATATCTGTAAAGAACTTACTTGACTTAGCTTTCTGATTGGCTTCAGTACATGGGATTGCCTCTCCAACATTCTTGGTTATGGGATTCTTAGGTTTGCTTTTGTTGAGGTGAAGTGATTTATCTAAGACTCGTTTAGTGGGTTGAGATGTATTTGACTTGCCATGACATGCCATGACTTTTCTTCGTGTTAGATAACGATGCCGATATTTCGATGTCTCGGCTGAATTTACCTTATCTCCTTTGACTTTATGGGCAAATTCAGTTGAAGAAAAAGACAACTCATACATGGTCTGATGATCACTAGTTGCATTACCCATGAATTCATTTCTAGAGGGGCAGGCCACTGGTTTGCCACCGATGGAAGATAGTATTTTAACAGAGTCATCATCACTGTGCTCTTCCACTATAGGGGGAATCAATGGTTTACCAGTGAAGGGATCTAAACTTTTTACAGAGTCATCAGAGATAGAATTCTTCTGTGTATTTGTTTTTTCAAACTTACGCTTACCATTTGGCGGATAGTAAACCTCAGTGGCTGTCAAGTCAAATACATGAACATTAAAATTTGAATTTCCAGTGTATTTAAAGAGTAAAAAGTAGCCATAACGGACAGAATGGTCCTCAACAAACTTATCCCAGCCGTCATTAAACCAAAGAGACTCCTCCACCTTTTCCAGTCTCACACACCAAAGGGCACCAATAGAATCAGTAAGTCTAACAACATTGGAGAGTTGATGACCATATCTTCTAACAAATTTGTTGGGGATCTTCTGCACAAAAATACGTAATAATTTACTATATATACAAGCAAAGAAACGCAGAAATTTCATCCGAATAAACCCTAAACTTTATCTCATTTCTACAGTGTTATTTCAGTTAGCAAACTATCCCAACAGGCAAATACAAGAATCTGATTAATAATTAAGAAGAAACGAAAATTACCAGTTTTTGAAGGGAAGTGATTGAGGGCAAAATAACTTTGAAGAATCTCGTTGCTTCTAAATCCATTTTTTTTTTTTTTTTTTTGCTTTGTGTTTCATACTCCTGTTAATATTCATAATGTTTCGTATCCAGATGAAGAGTCAAGCCTTAATTATGCCTTGCAGATAATCAATGTCAAGTATCAATCGTTATTGGTGTCTGTCCCACTACTCTGTTCAATATCAATCTTAATTTTATATTATTTTGTATTCAATCCATTTGAATTTATAATTATTGTTATTCTCAAAAAAATTTATTGATATTGGGAAATTGGTGCCTTCATTAGTACTATCCTGAGTGCCAAAGGGCATCTTTAGTAGAATTGTTTGTCCGTAACTATTACTAAAATATGTGGTTGCAGACATGAGTTCAGAAATGAGAGAAAGTTAAGAACCTTCATTAGAACTAACACGTGGATATAACTATTTTATTAATTTTAAAAAAAGTTAAAAGCAAAAAAGTTCTATTCATTTTTTTTCCAACTTTTATTAATTGAAAAAGTATCTGTTCATTTAATTATATGACATGTAAATACTTACAGAAAAGCTTTTGAGCTTACCAAGTATGGACTAAAAAGTGCTAAAACTAAAAGATGTATTTTAAACAAACAGGTTTGGAGATTATTTTAATTTATTTTTCGTTTGAGTAAATTAAAAATATATATATAGAAATATAAAAAAAACCAAGATAGTCGATGCTATATATTAATTCAACTTACCTAAACATGTAGTAAAAATGTTTAATAAATAAATTTTCAAAAATGTTCCAATGAGTGAGAAAGAGGAAGATAGCTGAAAAATGGTTAAAAAATCGTATGTAAAAGTATACAAAAAATGGAAAGGGCATACAATAATAAATTTAGCTAGAAAACTTATGAAATTTTTGCAGTTAGATTATGGATAATGAGCTTTGGTGACCCCGATTTTTGCAATGGCAGCGTGGACAACAGATGTCGGGTCCACTCGTGCCTATACAAGCAACTTTTGACACGTTATGATCGGAATAATCAATTGGAGGATCTCCAACTGCAGCGAATGCGGGAGATGCTCAATCGCATCTCATGCTAATGTAAATTGTAATACAAAAAAAAAAAAAAAAAAAAAAAAAAAAAAAAAAAAAAAAAAAAAAAAACTTAAAAAAAAAAAAAAAAAAAAAAAAGAAGAAGAAGAAGAAAAGTCAAACTTCAACAAAAAAATAAAAAATAACATGAGGCGGTGGAATTTGATTGAATTCCACCCAAAATCAAATTAAAAACAAACACACACTACACACCGAAAAGAAATGAGGCACAAAGAGAAGAGGAAGAAAAAATAATAGGAAAGTTCGCCTATGATGTTAGAAAATAAGTGGTCTACATTATTAAACTTGAATTCCTCAATTTTGAAAGATAAGTAAAAACTTATTGTCAAGTTATGTTTGATTTTATAGTTATTAGATTGTTAGATTAAATTCAATTTTATTGAATGGGTTAAGTATAAAAAACTATGAAATTGAGTAACATGAAAGAAAAACTAGTTTAGTGATTAAAGAGATTTTAAAAATCGCTTAAACGTGAAATGATTAAGTTTGGGTTTTGCGTATTTAATTATTGAAATTATTTAAAATAATTAATTGTTTATTTAAAAATTATATCATATTTTAAGCAACGATACTGACATCAGAACAGCTTACCAATTGGGTTGATTTTGCGAACATAGTACTGTGAGTGGAAAAATATAAATATTTTTTATTATTTATAAATTAAGTATATTATCAAAATATGTGTAATTATGTGTTCGATTATATGATTATTATGAAAATCTCTTTTATTATGATACATGTGGAATTTCAAGGATTATTTATTGTACGTTTGTGACTTGGTATATGAGACATGTGATATTGAGATTTGCTTCGTATGTGAGACGTGATATTGAGATCGACCAGAAAAGTACCTGTAATTATGTACTTCTTCTAGTTCACAGAGGGACCTTGGTCGTGTTCTATCCTACACGGAGGGTTTTGACCGGATATTGGTCTCGACCGTGTACATATAGTTCACATAGGGGCATTGGCCGTGTTCTAAAATTGATTACTAGAGATCTTTGAAACCGGCTTTCGTTCATGGAGGGGGCCAAACGCCTGTGGCGAAAATGCTTAGCACGAGGGGCAGATTGCAAATTTTAGTCAGAGAGTACATTTTTGGTGGACCACATGTGATGTGATAAGATGATGGTATAGATATCAGCTGATGATTATATCATGATTATGAGATGATAATTATAGTGTTATAAGAATGACTTACTTTTTGCTATAATTGTATGAGTCTATCATGTGAATATTAAGCGATATGAACTAAATGTTTGGTAAAAATGTTTAAAGGAGAAAGTATAATTATTTCAAACTCTTCCACTTCTTTTAGCAGGAAGAGTCTAATGATCTCGGAATGAGAGCCATACGACATGTTAGGTGTTATAAACTCATATTGATGAGGCATAAAGTAAATAATTTGGGCCCATCTCATTATATTTTATATTTAATTTGATTTTGGCGCATATTTTGTAGTCATAGTCAGCCTTGGTGGTGAATCTGACATCTAGTCAGCATCTATCATCGGCGCACGTTGCTAATGAACCGAGTTCCATGCCCAAGATGAGGCTTTTTTTATTAATAGGCCCAATTAAATTAAATAGTCGATATCACTTCGGTCAATGTAAGACTTCCCCTATCACACACATGCTACGTAATTTATAGATGTAACAATAGTCCCCTAAGTTTGAGTTGTACATTCATGTGCAGGTCGGACTTTAAAATATAAGTAGTCAACTAGGTGAGATCTTACAGATTGTCTCAAAAATATGAACAGCTCCAATATGAGGACTTATGAACTACCTCGAAAATATCCGTGCGAGCTTGAATAAGTGGAGGTTTTAGATTGCCTCGAAAGATAGATATCGCATATGATTTGTCAATAGTTGATTCGGATCATAAAATGATTATTGAGGATTACATATGATCAATTGGATGCAATTGGAGTGTCAAATGAGTGAAATAGAGTTGAAGTATTTTCACCAATCAATTTTCAATCAAAGTTATGCTTTAAATTTTTAGCCTCAATATAAGACCCATTTTTTGGATAGCAAACTTTCGAATCGAAAATATTGTATTTAAAGAAGAATTGTAGCTCTTTGAGCTAGATTTCCTTGAAGAAATGAGAGATAGCTTTCAAGCAAAATTGGCTATTTGTCAGCAAAAACTGGCTAGGTATTATAACTCTAAAGTTAAGAAAAAGTCATTTTCGCTTGAACGATCTTGTGATACGAAAAGTGTTCCTATCTTCTAAACAGCCAGGAGTAGGAACTCTAGGCCGTAATTGGGGGGGCCCTTATTGCATCAAGGAAGAGGTTCGATCAGAGAGCTATAAAACTATAAGTATGGATGGAAAGTCGTAGCCTCATCCATGGGATGCAGAGCATCTACGAAAGTACTACTAGTGGAAATGTAAATGAATTTTATGTACGATTTGTTTAAATTAAATGAAAGTTCCATATTAAAAATCTTTGTTTGCAGAAAAAGTACCTCTCGTTAACTAAATTATGGGAGAAGCATATGCATAGAGGAACCATCCCAATGTGGAGAAGAATGGCAACTCTACGACGAGGTGGATCCTATCGAAGGCAAAATGGCTTGGAGATATTAACACCTCCTCCCAGGGTTAGAATAGGCAATTGGAGCATTTTCAATAGGCTCTTTAAATATAAGATAATATTTATTTCAAAAGTTAACCTTTAAAATTATGTTCTAAGAGACTATTTAAATTAACATTTTAAAAATAAAGAGAGTTTATCTCTCCAAATTTAGTGTGTCAAACTCACTCTCTATGATTAAATGTACTCAAAGTACTTCAATTTTCAATGGAGTAAATAATATATTAATTTCGAGGAAAACTGGGGAAATAAAATATAAGGAAAAATAATAAATTTTTTCAAATATTACTTAAGAATATTTACACTCTAAATTATAAAATATGCTATTAAAAAATAAAGAGTCTCTTGAAAATACTTTTAGCCAACCGAAATGTGCAAACCACTTTGCAACCCCTACACTATTAGTCATATTTTCCATTCAGAAATAAATTTTTATACAAAAATGATTTTTATTATAAAATAATATTTTATTTATAAAGTAATTTTTGAGTTTATCTACAATATTTTTAGTTCAAGTATTTTTATTTGTAGGTTAATTTTGAACAAAATATGTTAAATTAAAAATAATTATTTATAAAGAATAAAATTAGAAAAGAATATAAAAAATGGTGAAAATCTATCGATTTGGTGGATTTCATAAACAGTGCCATGAATTTAAACAGTGGAAAAAAAAAAGAAAAAAAACCTCCAAACCGAGCTTTTGAAGTTTATTTATATAGTGTGTGTTTTACAGAAATTATTTGACAAAATGCAATTTCCTCTGCAGTCATGTTTTGGTGTAGTCATGTCAATTTTAAGTCATTTTTATACCCTACTATCTCATAGGTAATACCTAGTCTTCCAATTTTACCCCCACTTCAATAATCACCTAGCAACGGTGCTTCCTCATGCAACGGTTTAAGGTCTGTTTCATTTTGTCACGTTTTTTTTATATACAATCAGATGGGCATGTTTTAGCGTGCAATTCTTATTTTTCAGTACATTGAACAACCAAGCAGAAATATCTATTTTCCATCTGAAATCTTAATTCTGCTTGTAATGTAAGATGAAGTCACACTATACAACGAGTGTCAAAACAAACAAGGTTGGTCCTCAGATTTTGAGGGCCTTAGACCAATTTCAAATATGGAACCCTATATATATATATATAATGAACAAATTTTTTTGGTTCCTCACCGAATTGGGGCCTTAGGCGATCGCCTACCGCATCTATAATTAGGACAAGCATTGTAAACCACTTTGGAATTCTTATCTTAGTTGATGCACCATGTAATCTCGTAATTGTTTCCACAACATGTCTTCATCGATCATCGCATCCAACTCTGCTACAATATCATCTTCCTCATTGGGGAGGTCTATCTCCAATTCCTCGTCATCTGGCTCTTACACTTTATGGAATGCTTCTTCAACATTCTCATTTGTTTTAAGAAAATTGTGGATAGTCATTGTTGCAAAAATGACTGTTGTTTGAGCTCGAAACGAGTAGCTAGGCATCCCGTCAAGGATATTCCATCATTATTTTCACACTCCAAATGACCTCTCAATAACGTTTCTATAGGAGAAGTGATGATTGAATTTCTGTCGGTGTTACGAAACTTACACCTTTGTAGATTTGTCTCATTATGGAACTCTTGAAAATGATATATGATATCTTAACCTTTACTAGGTGCCATATATCCTAGTCGATGTGCAAAATGGAGTCAATCATTAAATATTTGCCATGCACAGGCTACAAAAAATTAATTTCTGGACGATGTATCGTAGTAGCCAAAATACGATTATAGTGTATATTTCTAATATGTGTTCCATCAATGGTTCTAACTATCCTATTTATGTTATGAATGAATCCAAAAAACAGTTTCCAATTGTCAAGAGGACGATATATTAATAAATAGAGGAAAATGAAACTCGTGAAATTGTGTTAAGTTGAAAAGAGGATATTCTTCTGCGTTTGGATGGTGATGTGCTCCACATTTGGATATGAATTAATGATACTTCCAGGAAGCATAACAATAACACGAAGAACAGTCTTGATGTACTGACAAATTGTCTGCAAAAAATGTCTTGAAGAATGTTTGAACTTATCAATACCCTTTGTCGTGTGCTGATACACACAGAAACATGCCAATATGTTCGTACGCATCTACATTAGCACAACTTCTTAAACCATATTAGAACTTTTGCCTGACATAGAAATGCATTTTATAATCAGCAAAAGAAATTGGAAGTTAGCACTAATATGGCACATAAATATTGCAGAACAAATTGGAAGTTAGAACTTGAAATGAACACGAAATCACGGCATAATATGGCAAAACATCGCTCAAAAAATTTTCAACGACATGTGGCATTATAGTTGGAACTTAAAGTGTTAACCAAAGATCATAAATCCGCCATATCCAAAATCAAAAAATGAAGTATTAGACTATAAAAAAAATAGCATATTCAATGGTAGAGTGCCTTGATCTTTCTTTTTTTTTTTGATCGGTAAATGTAAACTTTTATAGATCAAAATTCATTTACTAGTACACCGAGCATATCCAAGCAATCAAAGGGCAAGTAATCAATACATGTACATTGGACATACTCGGGTAGACAAACATAAAATGATGTACCAGATCCAGCACTCGACCAAAGCCATTAAGGCAATGGCCTTGGGCCTCCAATCTTAAAGGGGTGTTAAAAAAAAAAATCATGGAGTTAGATGGAGTAATCAATGATCCAAAGGCAAAATGATAAAACAATCATAAATTTATAAACACCAAAAAATTTACAACAGAAGTAAAGTAAAAATATGGAGATGAAAAAGAAAAGAAAAAGCATTTTCTTCACCATTTTCAAAGTAGAAATTCTCAATTTCATACAGATCTTAAAAGTTTCAGCCAATAATGTATGGCCATGTTGACGAACTCCTATGATGCTTCTCCAAAAGTGGAAAATTAATATCTCACAACTAATTTGTGCTAAGCTTCATTTGTCCATTCCAAATGGAATATCATTTAATCATTTTCCCTCATTATAGTAGAAAAAAATAATTGGACTGAGATAATCAATTAAATAAGAAGGGTGGAAATGAAAATAAAAATGGAATTTTACCTAGTAAGGAAGGAAATAGAAAGTGAAACTTACTTAATAGAGAAAAAGAGTGTGGGGAGAAAGGTAAAGGAAATGAATTAAGCTACTTGAACATGGAAATTTGATGGAAAATATTGACAGCGCTGACATGGCGAATTGTGATTAACCTATTTTTATTTTTAAATTTTTCATCTTCTAATGAATAAATGCCAAGTATTGTCTGTCACCATTTCGTGTCAAATTTTCCTATTTGAGTAGCACAATTGAAAGGAAATACCGTCAAATGAAGAAAGAGAGAAAAAGTTTTTGGAGTAAAAGATGAATAATAAAAAATTGATCCCTTGGTTCATAATTTATTGCCTATATAGCAATTAAGTCTTTAAATTTTCATTATAATTTTTATCTACCCTTGTACACTAGTAAAAATATGTTTTTAAAAGGCCTCATTATAATTATTTGGCTAGGGCCTCAAAAATCTTAGGGCCGACCCTGTGATGTACCTTGATCTTCCTTTCCCATCAGCCATCGTATGCCATAATTCGATTCCCGTGCAATTGCGTGTTCTTTGATCGCATTTGTTGCCAATAGTCGAGCTTTCTTCTAGTTCGAGGCAGGGACGGATTGGGGGGGGGGGACTAGCTGGGCTGTAGTCCCCACCCCTACCTGGTCCAATTAAATTTTTTTTAGGGTAATTTTCTTTATTTATTATTATTTTTTTGTAAGAACAGATTTTTAATGAGTAAATTTTTTTTCGCGTGTTAGTCTGGCTTGAAATTTTTTAGTCTGGTCTTAAATTCAAACTTTGATTCATCCGTAGTTCGAGGCTTGAGGTCTTCTATTTTTATTGCTTATGTAGTTATTTATTTTGAGACTTTTAGTAGAATGGGACCGTAATATGGTTCGAAATTGTTGGAACAAATCATTTGCTTTACCAAGAAAAGCTTTATTTTTGGTTGGACCCTATTTTCAGTATACGAGTCATTTGACCTTTGTAGGGTTATTTTGTTGCTCATTATATGAAAATTGTGAAATTGATTCCCGCCTGTTAACTACATATATTTGAAGTTTCCCACTCTTGGAGTGGACTCTTCCACTTCCCACTGCATATATATACGTAATATACCATGCTTGGTTATTTTAATTAGAGAGAATCTACTTCAAGTAAAATGAAGGGGTTTTTGAGGAAGTACATCCGGATGAAAGAAGAATCTGGCAAAAGAAGAAAACTGCAACTGCTGGGAAGCAAAGCATTAGTAAATAAACATAATTCTAAAGGAATAAACCTCGCCAACATTTCTCATAGAACTACTACTTCCAGGTTACAGTACTATGAACTACGATCAGTTCAATTTCATTATTTTGAATTTTATCTTTTTATTCTGAATTTATATATATGATTTAGGTCTAAAAGTGTGGGAAAGGTTCCTCATTTGTTAATGCTATCTACGAAGAAAATGAAAGAGATGGAAAAGATTGATGGTTCTACTATTTTTAAGGAACAAAAGTGGAATCTTGAGACGTACACTAAAGATGATGCTAAGCAATTAGGGGATTACAAAATCCCTTGGATTTTGTTTCGCGATGGATATGAAAATGGTCGAAGATTGTACGATAAATTCAACGGACGGACTTGTCATCAATGCAGGTACCTACATTCACTTAACATTTACTCCAATATATATAATCTAATTAAGAAAACTTCATATTGAATTATTAAATTTTGTATTTTATTTCAAATTATGAATTATTATTGAATTGACAGACAGAAAACTCTAGGCCTTCGTACTCAGTGCAGCAGATGCAAGGGGTCGACTGGGATGTTATGTGGAGACTGTCTATACATAAGGTATGTTCGGCACATCAATGGAATTCAAGTACAAAGAAATTAATATTTACGTATTGGTGCAGATATGGGGAGAATATAATTGAAGCAAATGAGAATGGGAAAAGTTGGATATGCCCAGTGTGTCGAGGAATATGTAACTGCAGCAAATGTAGAAACAAGAAAGGATTGCCCCCTATGCCTTGTATATATTCCAAGGTATGTATCCTCCTTTTCTTAATTTCTTCCACGATTAATTTGTTTTGACTAATAACTAATTAATTTAATATTTAATCTGCAGGCGCTGAGAAATGGTTACAAGTCTGTGGCACACTATCTTATTAAAACCCACATTGTTAGTATCGGTGGTGAAGGAGAGACAACAAAAAAGGTCTAGCTAGATGAGAAGATTGGTGTCTCCATCGTATAATATATTAGTGTTGAACGTCCAACTCAATCGTATAATATGTTAGTATCAATGGTGAAGGAGAAATGTCGAACATCTCAAAAAAGGAAAAAATGAAAAAAAAATAAAAATGAAAAAGTGATGCAGTGTTTATTTCGTGAGTGCTAGCAGGAAGCTTTTGGCTTGTAACTCTCTATGATCATCCATCCATCTCAATCGTAAAATTATTGAACGTCTAAAAAAAAAAAGAAGTGACGTAGTGTTTATTTTGTGAAATATATTTTGTGAGTGTTATTAGGAAGCATTTTGCCTGTAAATCTCTAGGATTATCGATTCATCTCCAGTCGTGTAATAGTTCATCTGAGAAAATGATCAATCATCCATAGATTACATCACCATGATTCAACTGAAAGAGATATGGCTTCCTAAATGTATCATACAAGTAGTCTCACGAGGATGCTGATACTCTGTTCAACGTGCAATATGTTACGTTAAGTCAAAATCTCACAAGATGAAATGTGTGAAGAGGTAGCATCAAAAAGCTATTTCACAAGTAGTCTCACCATGATTCAACTGAAGAGGCTATTTCACATTTTGCTCTCAGTTGTTGGATGCCAACCAAAAATCCCTTATATTTCTCTTAAGACTACAACTCTACTATTTTTTTCTTTTTTGAGACAGAAACTAAAGAACTTTTAAGCCCTTGCTTGGCCCCCTATTATAATTAAATTTTAGAAATAATGTATTTTGAAATAGTAAATTTTGGAAAAATTTATTGTTAAAAAGGAATGAAAAGTTTTTGGTTTATGAGCAATATTAATTTATTGGAGACTGTGTGGTTGAAAAAAAAAAAGAGAAAAATGTATTAAAATTTTAATTAGGGAATGTCACCCAAAAAAAGGGACAAAAAATTAAAATAGTAGCATAAAATTTGACTCATGTAAATAGTAGTGAAAGAAGCAAGATGAGTGTCCACCACGTTCCTGATGCGAGGAAAAAATGACAAGAACCAATGCAAACATCATCTATAAATTCTCTTCGATAGCTTGTAAAATTAGAGTATACATACAGACCTAAAGAAGAAAATGAATATATATTGTTTTGCAAAAAAGTGGCCGTGTTGCTGCACCTAAGATTCCACAATTTTTGGGCTGCAAGAGTAATTACAAAATGATTCTGAAGCAATCGCAAGTGTACTATGTCAATTAAGCTAGTAGTAAAATAAATTTGAAAAGTTCAAATTATCGTTCGCATTAGAATTATGTATCTAATTATTGATTTAACTATGTCTAACTTCTATTCGAGTAAAAATATTTAAAAGAAATTTAAATTCAGACCATAAACATTATGACTCTACAAAAATAATTAAAAATTGTGAAAATAGACAATTTAGGATTTTAACTGGTGTACAAGAATTGTTATGGTTCACTAATTCACCATAACTATCCCTTTTTAATTTCAATCACCAAATTTCAACAATAATCAATTTTGTGCATCATATCACATTCTTCTAATTTAATTGATTTACTTCTCTTGATTTTAAAACAATCTTATTCAATTAAGTTAACTCATTATATGTTTACATATAACAGGGCAAGTCTTAATTAAGAGTATACAATCACAAAAAATTACTGAAAAGTCAGTAAAGATTTATCTCTACCTTCTACCCAAGTTTCACTTTTTACTAGGGTTGCACAACGAAATTGTCAAACCGCAAAATCGAACCGAAATTGTTGGTTTGGTTCCACATAGATCCATCAATGTTTTGGCTTTGAACCAAATTAAACTGATTTTAAGTGGTTTGGTTTAGGTTTCAATCTTTGCAAATTGTTTCAAATCGTCAAACCGTTTATTAAAAAAAAATCTAAAAATAAATTAGTCTAAATTTTTATTTAACCTAATTGAAACTTAACACATTTCAATTAAAAATATACATCCATATTGAACATAATTCAATTAAACTCAATTCTACAATTATACATCTCAATTAATTAATTAAATCGCATCCAAATACACATCAATTATCACAACTGTGAATATAAAACCCTCAAATTGGGCAAAGTATTAAACAACTGCTGCTAAACCATATTCATTGATCCATTATTACAATTGAGCAGACAATTAAATCTAAATTTTAATTCAAACTTACACATTTCATTTTCTTCTACTAATAATTTTGATTATCCAAATTCTTTTATCTTTTGGTTTTTTTTTTATGTTTTTATTGGTAGTTATGTTGTTTCGTTCTAATAATTGTCGGGCTTCCTTGAAGTAACTCGCTAATATATAAATGAAGTAAAAATATTGGATGATTCACAAAAAGTCACAATAGTTAGATATTATTGTATTTGAATTTTGTTGTTCATTTTCTTTTATTAATTATTTTATATCATTTAACTATAATCAATAAATTCATGTATTATATTAATATTTATGAAATGAATACATCATGTATTACAATTGTAGATGGACGCCGTGAGTATCGATTAAGAGTTTAAAATATTTATATGTTGTTGTTACTTTATAACGATTATAATTATATAACTTTGATTTGTAATTTTTTTTAGTAATACAATTTATGTTTTAACGTGAAATTTCAGATTAATATTTATGATCTAACTTATTTGATATAATGTTAATTTTCTTCATTGTTAAATCATGGTTTTAAACCAAACCAAACCAGAAAAAAATGGATTGGATTGGTTTGGTTTAGAAATTGAAGTGGTTTGGTTTGGTTTGAAAATATATCAAACTGTTTTAAATGACTTGGTTTGAAAACTTGTCTCAAACTGTCAAAATTGAACCGTGTTCATCCCTACTTTTTACTATGAGGTCTAAATTATCATCTCACCTCTCGGCTCATTAACGTTTACAAACCAATGAAATAATGCCAAATTATTTTAAAACACGAATAACAGAAGTAAAAATAATACATAATCATTAATTTAAGATCAAAGCTTTGTAAATAAAATTAAGATTCAAAACTATATTATAATTGTTCGTCCCAACTATGATTGAGTTGCACATTAAAGGAAAAGAAAAATATAATAAGGATTTGAAGTACTTCTTTATGTTTAGAAGATACCAATAAAAGATGATATTCTTGTACTAAGAACCCGTCTCCTTCACATCACATTATTGAAACCTTAGCTTCTTCTTTCTTTTCTCTTCTCCCTTGTATATTTTCATTTTTTTTCTTTTTTTTTTCTTCTTCTTCTTTTTTACTTGTGATTCTCAATTATGTCCTTTTTTTTTTTTTTACTTGTGATTCTCAATTATATCTCCTTCATCTTAATCTAGAATAGATCTTTTTATAGTGTTAGATCCATAGCGCAAGTCATGCCTCCATTAGGACCTAAAATAATTCCGGATAAAACATAAGAAATCCTAACTTTTCAAAGTCAGAAAACTGCTTCTAACAAGGAGATTGGGCTCTATTCATGCTGACCGTGGTTGCTAACAATGATCAGATCATGGAATCAATGGGTCACTTCGTCCAACCCCCAACTTTTCAATTTTCACACTTTGGTCCCTATTCTAAGTTTTTATATATGATTTTGGGTTTTTGATAATTATCTTCAACATTGATCTCACAACTTCAAAAAGCTTCTAAAAGTATGCATAAATCTAGCCACATCAAACTAAGCATTAAAAAAGAGGATCGTTTCGAAATTGATCACAGAATCATGCCAGACCAAAACTACTCAAGAACGTGGGAACAATATACCGTTAAAAATCAAAAGGAAAAAAATTAACACTTACATCGTATTTTTTACTATTTAAATACAATTTTCAAAAATTGTTACAAACAGAAGGGTCTAAAATACTTTTTCAATAAAAAAAAATGAGAGCATCTCAAAAATTAACTCTCAATTGGAAAACACCACTTAACCCCTATTTGAGCCTCATTTTTATGAGAAAATATGTTTTGAAATAGTGATTTTTTGGAGAATGTGTGATTAAAAAATAAGAAAAGACTTTTGTTTATGAAATAATATATGATCAAAATGAATTTTGAAAAGTGGAGCCTAAATGGGGGATTAAAAAATATTCTCAATTTTATAAAAAAAATCAAAATTTAACCAAGTTAAAAAATATTTTTTATGCTTTATACAAATTTATTTTAATCATTATATATGCAAAAAAGAAAAAAAATTATCTAAAAATTATTCAACTATACAGAAAAATCAAAAATATTTGAGGGGACCAAACTACGATTTCTAGGATTGCAATAGAAGGTCCCATGAACTTTCACGTGCCAGATGCAAAATCTGAATTTTTATTTAACTATGTCATATGCGTCCACTTGGCAATCAACCATGCATTTACCCATTCATTTATTTTTTTCATATGTTCCACTAATTTCGACATTCTGAGTTTATTTATGTGGTTAGAGTATAAAAATTTCATTCCTAACATCATGTTTGAGACCACAAAACATTTAACAGAGAGCAAGGAGGGCAAATCTGTTCATCTTCTTCAATTTTCCCTAATTATCAGATTTTGGTCCAAATTTCAAAAGTGGAAATTACACTAGCGTAGTCTTTTAAAGATTACAATTCAAAAAACGGGTTGAAGGTTTGTTTATTCAAAAATCAGGTGATAATTCTATATTTTAATACTAATAATAATATATTATAAAATTAAATTACATACCACCCCCTAACCCACCCAAAGCCAATTTGAATCCCAATTTCGTTTCTCTCTCTCTCTTTGACATGTCCTCTCTCCCTATCTATATTAATATCTCTCTACTTTCTCTACTATTTTGGCTCTACACTCCTTTTTTCTACCATTTCTTCGCTACTCCTTTTGGAAGCAGGAAGCGTAAATAAATTTCTAAGATCTCACTTTTCCAATTTTTCGATTTGGGCTGCTGCAACGATTTGTGGTGGTTTACAGTGGTTTGTATGGTGATTTTTGGTAATTTTTGTGGCTGTTTGCGGTAGTTTATGTGGTTATATGTGTGGTGGTTTTGCGACAGTTTTGTGGTGCTTTTGTGGTAATTTTTAAGGCATTTTGTGGTGGTTTTAAAGTGATTTGTGGTGATTTTGAGGTGGTAGAGCTAGTGATGTTGGTGGTGGTTACATGTTTATAGAGTGCATGTCAAATGCTATGTTGATATTTATTGGTGCTGCCGGTAGTGGTGATAAGTCACATGTACCTGGTCACAGGTTATTGTGCATTAGTCATATATAAATATTCAGGATTCATAGATCAAACAAAACTGGACACAGATCATGTTTGTATGTCGCAAGTCACACTCCATAGGTCACAAGTTATATTGTATAGATCATATGTTAATGGTCATCGTGTGTGGGTCAAAGGTCAATGGTCATCATTTGTGTGTCACAGGTCATTGCCATAGGTCACTGTGAATAGGTTACAAATCAATGCCCACATATCACAGATAAATTAAAATTGGTCGTAGATCAATGTCCATAGAATCACAGATCACATATAATATTTCATATGTCAAAGTGCATTGGTCATAACTCACAAATTCAAGAGATCTATTCACATGCAATTGATATCTCCGCCTCAATTCTCCGAATTAGTTACAAATTCAATTAATTTGATTTTTGACTATGAGAATTGAAATTATTAGCTTCGATGAGTACTCTGTAAATTACACCAGGGACTATTTTTTCAATTTCTAAATTTCAAAAATAGATTTAAATTACACCTATACTGCTTAATCACTAACAATGCTCAGTTAATGCTCCCCAACGGTCACTATATTTTTCCCTCTCTACTATCTCAGCCGAAGATGCTTAGTCATTGCTGAGAGACAACAAGTTCATCCCTGAAAAAGTCATGAATGGCCTTTGTAGGTTCTATCGTTCTTCCTGTGAAATTATTTGGATGTTGATAACTGTGATGATAGATGTCACAGGTGGATGCCGATGATTATACAAGGAAATGGTAGCTGACAGATGCACGGGAGTGGGGTGGGATTTGGATGGGGGTTTGGGCTGGGTAGATTAATTTCATTTAATAATATAATTATTTGAAATTAAAAATATTGAACTAAAACTCGACTTTTGGAATTTTATACTAGTCTCTAGAAATTGTGCTGGTGCATACTTAATACTTGTTATATGAAGTTTTTCCATTTCAAAACCTCGTAACTTCTTTATTGTAAGTCCAAATTTAGAGTTTTTATATGGTTGGAAGTTCAATGAAATACTACCATACCAATCTTACTACATAATTATAAACATACAAGAAGTGGTAAATTTTTTAAATTTTTGCAAAATCAACTAAGTTTAAATTTTCGCTCAAATGCAATAACGAAAATTGATAAAATTTTGTAAATGAACTCTGCAACATATCATATGCATATTTTAGAACAACTTTAATTTAAGACATTGTATCACAACATGCCATTAAAGGTCACATAAAATTTTAAAATTCAACATACACTACACCAAAAATTGTCTTTTGCAGTGATAAAAAAACGTTGCCTATTACCTTTTGAAGCATTTGTGTGTGTACGATGTTGCCGTAGACTCTTGAGATACTTCAACGTTCCTTGACCATTGCAAAAGCCCTAAAGAACGTTGTTTTTTATTTTTTACAACGTTCATTGACTATTGCAAAAAACATTGCAACAGTCAATGAATGTTGCTAAAAGGTTTTTTGCAACATTCGTTTTGGCAACATCCAATGACCGTTGCAAATACTTTTGGCAACGTTTTTTATTTGTTGTCAATTCTTTATCCTTATTTTTGGAAACATTCTCCGACCGTTGCCATAGGTCAATTTTCCTTCTTTTTTTCTTTTTCTTTTTTCAATTTTGTATTTTTTTAATATTTGTATACAAGTTCAAATAAACCAACAAAAATCAAAAATAATTTTTGGGCTTGGAATTTGATAATAATTTCATTACTCCATAAAGATAAACATAAAACCCGTGTCATTGCCATAAAGATAACTATTGTAATTCTCTGATATGAGTTATAGAAAACTTAAATCCTAATTACAAAATAAGATCATGAATCTCACAATACCATGTTGAAGCAAAGGCATAGCACTTACAGACGGATGCAAATCTTGTCCAAAAACTTGAAGCTGATTCAACAAAGGTTGTTCTTCCAGTAATTTGGGTTCTATCATTGCTTCTTGTTAATGTTAATGCTCCATTGTTTCTGCTTACCTCTGAATGTGATTGTTCATAGGCTAATCAAGAAAAGTTGCAATATCAGTGAAATCAACTTTCAATAACAAAAAATTCCAATTATAATGAACTTTCTAGTTCCCAATGGAACGGAATAAATCACAATCAATATCCAAAAGCATTTCATTAAACCTCATGACCCTTGTACGTACCCCGAACAACCTGGGCCTCATCGTCCTTGCGGACTGGCATAGAACAAACATTATACTTTGTCTTGAGGTCAGAGGATAGAGGAGCGCTCATCAGGACACAGTGGACACTCGACGGTGCAGTAAAATGGGGCTTTCTATTCTTGCGCCTGGAGGAGGAGACTCCTGCATTGTGCTTCATTTTTGCTATGGGGATTCGGCTCTCTTGCGTCCTCTAACAACTGCAAAATGGAGAAGAAAACGAGAATAGGGTTTCAAGAATAAATAGGTAGTTGTTGGATTTTAGAATGGGCATGGGTTAAGGATTTAATATATGAGGGTGTTTGGAACCCCATTAAGAAAAATGCACTTTAAAATAGTAGATTGATGAAAATGTATGATTGAAAAATAAGAAAAATATTTATTTGCTTGTAATATTATTTTAATAAAGAATATCAAGAATCACACTACATAACGCAGTTTAATATTATTTGCTTGTCCTCCATAACGAACTACAATAGCCGGGGTGAGAACTGGGAAGGAACTACCAAATTGTGAAATGGGAATGAACTGAGTTAGGTTAATATTATATATATAGAGAGAGAGACAGAGAGAGAGAGAGAGAGAGAGAGAGAGAGACTTTCGCAACGTTCATAAAAATGTTGTTAAAAGTGACTTTTCGCAACGTTCACACACATGTTGCAAGAAGAGACATTTCTCTATGTTCCATAGACAAGACCATGCCTTGCCATCCATGTCTTCAATCCAGTAGGTACGGGGTCGGATCTCTCCCTTGACTCTATATGGGCGTTTCTAGTTTGGACTCAAGGTGCCTACATTTCGTTCCTTGGAGGAGAGGAAGACCCTCCTAAGAACGAGGCCATTGATTCTGAAATACCTCTTCTTCACCTTGGAGTCATAGTATTTTTCATTTTCCTCTGATAGGCAGCAAACCTCAGCTAGGAGTCCTCTCTTCTTTCATCAATAAAGTCGAGGTCGAACCTCCAAAACTCGTCGTTTGTTATTTCGCTGAAGTACAAGCGATGAGGTGATGGTAGACCTACCTCAACGAGACTTATAGCATCGATGCCATAAGCCATTAGGAAGGGTGTTTTCCCAGTTGGGGTCCTGGTTGTGGTCTCGATTGCCCACAAAACTTGTGGCAGCTTATCATCTTAGGCCCCTTTTGACACATGAAGTTTCCTTTTGAGGACATGCTTGATTGTTTTGTTTACAACCTCAACCAGGCCATTTGCCTGGGGTGGTGAGGAGTGGAGAAGTGTTTCTTTATGCCAAGCTCTTCACACAAGCTCTTGATTTTCTTGTTGTCAAATTGCTTTCCATTATCTAAGACTATAGAGTGGGGAATTCCAAACCGACACATAATGTTCTTCCGTAAGAACTTGGAAGTGTTTGCTTCCGTGATTTTGGCCAGTAGTTCAACCTCGACCCACTTCATGAATTAATTAATGGCCACAATTGCAAAGTTTGCGCTTCCTCTACCTTTTGGTAAGGGACCTATGAGGTCCACGCCCCAATTGGAGAAAGACTAGGGACTAGAGACTGCAGTCAATTCCTGTGATGGCTACCTTTGAATAAGAGAGAAACATTGGTACTTGTCACATTTTCGCACAAATTGGAGGGCATCCTTTTCAAGGTGGGCCAGTAGTACCCCTGCCTCAATACCTTCTATGCCAAAGCTAGACCTCCAGAGTGGTTGCCACAAACATCTTTGTAGACTTCTCTTAGAATGTAGGTGGCCTTTTCCCTACCCACACATCGAAGAAGTGGGGAGGAGAAGCTTCTTTTATAAAGCACATCATCAATGAACACAAAATGAGCTAACCTCCTTCTCAATTTGTAGGCCTCGTCCTTATTGGTGGGTAGGACTTGGTCCTTTAGATAGGCTACAATAGGCTGCATCTAGGTAGGAGTTCCATCCACACACATCACATCAGGGGCCTCGATTAATGGCTTGAGGAGGTGCTCAATTGGTACCACTACAAGTAGTTTGGAGTCTTTGTTGCTCGCAAGTTTGGAAAGTCCATCAGTATGTACGTTCTCAACATGAGGGGTTTGGATCAGTTCAAACTTTTTGAAGGATGGAAGAAGGTTCATCACCGTCTTCAATTAGGAGGCCATGGTTTTATCCCTGGCCGAGAAGTTGCCATTCACTTGACTTACAACTAGGTGGGAGTCATTGCTAATAAGTAGCCTCCTCACTTGCATCTCTTTAGCCAATCTAAGGCTTGTAAGATGTGCCTCATACTTCGCGATGTTATTGGTGGCCTTAAATCCGAACCTCACAGTTGAGTTTAGCTTGTGACCTTCTGAGCTAACCAGGACAACCCCAGCTGCCAAACCCGTGTCTCCAGCCGAATCATCCACGAACAGATTCCACGTGGGGGCTCAACATGTTCCATAACTTCTTCCACGTTGGGTATATTGGCGAACTCTGCTACAAAATCAGGTAAGGCTTGGCCCTTGATGGCTGTCCTTATCTTGAAGACAATATCAAATTCACTTAACTCCACTGCCCATTTCAATAGTCTCTTTGAGGCATTGGGCTTCTGAAGCACCTATCTAAGGGGGAAGTTGGTGTGAGCTTGGAAGTAGGGCCTCAGTTTCTTAGAAGCTGTAATCAAGGCCAATGCTAGCTTCTCCATATTAAGGCAGCGAGTCTTTCGGGATAGAAGTGTCTTACTGGTGTAGTACACGAAGAGTTGGGTGGTTCCTTCCTCCTGGATTAGGACTACACTGACAGCCTCATTGGAGACAGCCAAGTATATTTGAAGAACATCGTCGAGTTTTGGCTTGGAGAGGAGGGGTCTGCCCTAGATGCAATTTCAGGCCCTGGAAGGCCTTTTTACACTCTTCTGTCCATTGGAACTTCTTCTTGACTTTCAATATTTTGAAGAACAAGAGGCATTTATCAGTGGTCTTGGAGACAAAGCAGTTAAATGCTTCTACGTGTCCAGTTGGGCTTTGGACTTCCTTCGATTTTTGAAATGATCTCATCTCGAGTAGGGCATTGATCTTCTCAGGGTTGACCTCAATTCCTCTTTGATTGATCGTCTACACACCGAAAGCCCACTTGAGGGGGTTGAGGTTCATCCTAGCTCAACCCCATATCTCTTTAAGATTTGGAAAGTTTCATTCAAGTGTGTCACATAGTTGTCTGCCTTCAAACTTTTCACAAGCATGCCATCTACATAGACTTCCACCGTCTTTTCGATGAGGTCCAGAAATATTTTGTTGACAAGCCTTTGATATGTAACCCTGATATTTTTCAACCCGAAAGGCATCATTTTGTAGCAATAAAGGCCTTTATCAGTGACAAAGGAGGTGCTCTCCTCATCGACTGGGTATATGAAAATCTGAGTAGGCGTCCATGAAGCTTAAGAGCTCATGCCCGGTGGTGGATTCGACCAATTAGTCGATCCTAGAAAGTGGGAAGCTATCTTCGGGGCATGCCTTGTTAAGATTTGCAAAATCAATACATACCCTCCATTTGCCGTTGTGATTCTTAACAAGCACTGCGTTGGAGACCCACTTTGGGTAGATGGCCTCTCTGTTGAAGCCATTCTGGATTAGCTTTGCAATTTCTCCTTCAGGGCCTTATACCTTTCTGGGTTGAGGGCTTTTCTCTTTTGTCTATACGGGGCAACCTTAAGATCGATTTTCAAGTGGTGACAGCTGACCTTTGGGTCTATGCCTACCATGTCTTCATGCCTCCAAGCAAAGACATCGAGGTTCCTACATAGGAAGTCCTTTAGTTTTTCTTTCAAGTCATTGGATAAACCCTTGCCCAATTTCAACTTCTTAATGGGGTCTGGGGGTCCACTGAGAAGTTCTCGAACTCCTCAACTGGGGTTGTCTGAGGTACATGCTCAGTCATGCGGGGGTCTATCTCATAAAGCACGAGTAATTCTTCCTACTCGGGAAGTGCATCGATTATTTCAACGTCTTCTCGTTCAAGAGCCTTGCCCGACGACGTTGGTCATGTCCACGTCAGTTATGATAACATGTACGTCCCAGGGCTTAACCTTCCTGATGGATCTCAGGTAGCACTTCCTGGATCCTCTTTAGTCTCCTTTCATTGTTGCTATCCCATTCTCAGTTGGGAACTTCATGCATTGGTGGTGGATTGAGGTGACAGCTCCTAATTCCTTTAGGGCTGGTCTACCTAATACTCTGTGGTAGGCCGATCGGCTGTCAACAATGAGGAATTTCATGAAGTTCATTGTTGTTTGGGGTGATTCTCCCATCTCTACCGGGAGTGTGGTCTTTCCCCTTGGAGTGTTGCTATCTCCGATAAATCCATACAAGGAGTGGTGGTGGGCGTCAACTTGTGGTCCGAGATCATCTTGTCAAAGGTAGACCCAAAAAGGATGTTAATGGAGCTATCAATGTCGACTAGCATTCGTTTGAGCCCATTCCGAGACACTACAACCCTTACCACAAGCGCATCATAGTGGGGGTAATAAAGTCCCTCAGAGTCTTCTTGGGTGAAGATGATGGGTAGTGCTTGATTTCTTCAGGAACCACTACCCACAATGTAGCTGGTCAAAGGGAGGTGTTTGGCCTCTCGGGCATTGTTCCTTTTTGCATTTCGTGTTCATCGTCTATCTAGGGGCCTCCAAATATGGTATCCACCTTATGAATGGGGGCATCGACGATGCCTGCACCCTTCTCTGGGCCTTTCCGTATCATACTCCCTTCTGCAGGGGAAAGCGTCCCACTGGCGGGGAGCGCCCTCTTCACACTTAGGTTGCTCGTAATACCTAGGTGGGGACCTGTTCGCTTGGGGCAATTCATTTCTCCTAACCTGGGGGTGCTTCGGTCGGGTGTGGTACGCATACTCTTGATAATCACCAGCATCATGGCCGTACAAGCGATGGTACGTACAATATTCAGGGTGTTCTGGTTTCACCTATTCCTAAGCTCTGAACCGTGTCCTCAACCTCTACTTCTGCGGGGGGCCTGTTGTGAAGTCCCAGCCTACTGATTGTCGGTCATAAGATTGATATCTTCATATGTCAAGGTTGGCACTACATTCAAAATGGTGGTGGCAAGTGCTTGCTCTAAGCTTTCATTACCAGCCTGGTTCATCTAGTAGTCCATTAGGTGGGAGGTAAGCCCCCTAGCACGCTGCCTTTGTGGAGCTGGGAGCCCTCTGCTAGCCCTATTTCTGCATTTAATCAATTCTTCATTGATTATTTCCCACCTCATCATTTTCAAGCAGGGCATCATAGGTAGTGGGATCCTGATTTTGCACATCCCTCCAAAATAAGGTGTTCATATTGAGACCTCTCCTTAATGCTGATAAGGCCTCATGATTAGTGACTTGCACGCAATATGTTATTTCATCAGTAAAGCATGGTAAAAAGCTATAGGGGCATCTCCTTCCTTACTTACTCACAGCAAACATTTTCAGAAAGGTGGTTTTGAATTCTGGCCAACTCCTTATGCTCCTAGGTGGTAGCCTGCTATACAAAATTTTAGCGGCCCCACTAAGTGTCAAGTGGAAGGCCCTACACGTCATTGCCGAAGTGGCTCCTCTCAAGCTCATGTAGGTCTTATAAGCATTCAAGTGTTTCT